AGAAATTGGTGCAAAAAGGCTTCATGACCCTTTGGAAACTCTCTTTTGTCAAACTCGGGACCCCTTTCTACCCCATATTGAGGACGTTCCCCAGAACGGATTCCACCTCAATGAAGGACGTGGCCCTACGCCCTAGGTTTCCTCTACCTGAGCCCCCAAAGTGAATTATTACGGTAATACTTCGAGAACATGTAAATGACGAGATATAGTGGTAATTTAATACATTTTAGGGAATTCTGATCTAATGAACATGTCTATAGGCCACAGATGACTTACTTATGACTTACTTGGCTTCGTTGGCATAAAATTAGATTAGGAACGTCAGCTCCCAACATACAGTAGGCCTTACTTTCCCATGCTACCAGTAGAAGTAGAAAAAGTAATTCCAGGGGCTGAGGTTGCCAAAAGCTGCTTCGGCCACTACAATTCCTCAAGAAGCGGCGGAATTTTTTTGCCGTCAGAATGCATTCACTATGAAAGTGCAATAGAGAGATCTTCTGAATGAGAGGGCTCATCAACAATTCATCCGATTCATTCTCACATGGAGAGGATGAAAAAAGAGAATGAGAAAAGAAGTCTACCGTGTGATAACTGCATCACGCGGTCCAGTAATCCATAAAAACAGTGCAAAAATTGTTAGTTTTGAGATAAGAATGGCGGGATTAGATCGATTATTGATCGAGATCCTTTTGGGACAGCTGATTGGTCGGTTGGCAGGTTAACCACCAAAGTAGGGCGAAGCTTCATACAAACAAACAAACACGCACGTACACCCACTTAGTCATTTGCTGCTCACTCACTCGTGGTGTAACGGGGGTGCCAGCCAGCATCCGAGCCGGCCAGCCTGCCAGCCAGCCAGCCAGCAGCCAGCCAGCCGACATCGTCGTCGACCCAGCCGAGGCGGTGGCGGCGTTTTCTTGCCAGCCCGGAGAGACACGCTCGACAAATGGCATTTGAGCCGTTGAATTTACGACCTCTCACCTCATCCCTCAATCACTTGAACTTTTTTCCTTCCCGATTGCCTGGCCTATTCAAAGTTGTACGACATCGAAATGCACGTTATTCGAGGGCATGCCGAGGGGAATAG